TTTTTTTTTTTTTTTTTTTTTTGGCTAATTTAACCTATTCTATTTATTGTGTTTTTATTTTAGTTTTTGCTATTGATGGACGTATCTTTCTAAAACATACTAAATGAAACTAAATAATTGGTTAAAAGAGGATATGAGATATAACTTAAGGTTAAATTTATTTCCATATGAGAATAACTTATTCTCATGTCCATCTTTGCTACCATGTACTAAATTAACGATTTTATTTCTCTTTGGTCAAAACAATCCTTAAAGCACAAAATTGAAGTTGTAGTTAGTCAATTATAATATTTGACGTGCTAGTTTTCAAACTACTTTAAATGGGTGTAAAGAAAGTATGAGAATAACTTAGTGTCACTAATCTGACACGTGTTGGGCATGTACTGAACACTTGTTAATACAATGGATACATTACAAATTTATAATTCATCGTATCAGACACTTGACTTTGAATATATTTTAAGAGTGAAACGTACATTAAGCTTTTTTTTTAAGTATACAAATATATAAACTTATTTATATGAATTTATTTCTAATATAAAATTGATAAATTTTTTGAAATAATTCTTTTTAATTAATGAATCATTGTCATATCGGTGTCCTAGTTTTTTAAGAATGGCATGTTACCATATCTATTTGTATCATATTTATGTCTAGTATCTATATCTCATTTTTATTTTTGTTACTCTGAGATATTTTGCTTTTATAAATAGATATCTTCACGAAAATAAGTTTAATTTATGTTGAGATGGAGAATAAAAATGACACTTAAGGACGTTGATACTTGGGACTTTGATTCCTCTTAGTGTGAAGCTTGCATCTTGCAATTATTTGGGTAGAGAATGTGTTTCACTTAAAATTCACTCAAGAGAAAATAATCAAATAACGAACCATATTTGAGAGAGGATAACTTTTTTTTTTTTTAATCTTTGAGAAATAAGAAAGAATAAATATTAAAACATGGCATGAATGACATCTTCTTGAATCTTTGTTTTGTTCTCCTAAATGTATATAAAAAGAAAAAAAAAAACTTATATATTTTTAGATATAATTTAAGATTACATATTTAATAAAACTCCATCCAAACTTCTACTCATAAATTTAATTATTATTTGTATACAATTGTTAATATGTAAGAAAATACACGTACAAAATGTTTATACTATTGGTAATACACTAGTCTTGGTTGGTTGACTAAAACAATGCAACTATTGTCCAAACTAAAGAATTTGATTCGAAGCTATCTCCTAATAGAGGGAGGCTCAATTAGACTTTGTTGTAAGATTCGACCATGTCAATGATGAAAAAGTGCAAGCTGTTGAAAGGTTTGCCGTGGAAAATTTCAGAGATGGTAGATATAATTTAATTTACAAGCGTGTGGTGAATGGTCTTTTCAGTCGCATATACGCTTTGACCCCAAATTTTATAGTATTGTGATAGAAGCTATAAATGACAATAATATTCATTGATCAGATATTGCAATTGTGAAGAAGTTCTAGTTCCGTCATATGCATCGGACGCTACCGTCATCCTATAATGAAGAAGTGCAAGCTGTTGGAAGGTTTGCCGTGGAAAATTTCAGAGGTGGTAGATATAATTTAATTTACAAGCTTGTGGTGAATGGTCTTTTCAGTCCCATATAGACTTTGACCCCAAATTTTATAGTATTGTGATAGAAGCTATAAATGACAACAATATTCATTGATCAGATATTGCAATTGTGAAGAAGTTCCAGTTCGGTCATATGCATGGGACGCTACCGCCATCCTATAAGCTCTTATCTTTTGAGGAATTCATCAAATTCCCTCTCCACAAGTAACGCATCGGACGCTACCGCCATCCTATAAGCTCTTATCTTTTGAGGAATTCATCAAATTCCCTCTCCACAAGTAACGCATCGGACGCTACCGCCATCCTATAAGCTCTTATCTTTTGAGGAATTCATCAAATTCCCTCTCCACAAGTAACGCATCGGACGCTACCGCCATCCTATAAGCTCTTATCTTTTGAGGAATTCATCAAATTCCCTCTCCACAAGTAACGCATCGGATGCTACCGCCATCCTATAAGCTCTTATCTTTTTACCACCATCCTATAAGCTCTTATCTTTTGAGGAATTCATCAAATTCCCTCTCCACAAGTAACGCATCGGATGCTACCGCCATCCTATAAGCTCTTATCTTTTTACCGCCATCCTATAAGCTCTTATCTTTTGAGGAATTCATCAAATTCCCTCTCCACAAGTAACAGTATAACCACTAGATTGCTTTCTTTACTTACAATAAGCCATCCTATAAGCTCTTATCTTTTTACCGCCATCCTATAAGCTCTTATCTTTTGAGGAATTCATCAAATTCCCTCTCCACAAGTAACAGTATAACGCCATCCTATAAGCTCTTATCTTTTGAGGAATTCATCAAATTCCCTCTCCACAAGTAACAGTATAACCACTAGATTGCTTTCTTTACTTACAATAAGCCATCCTATAAGCTCTTATCTTTTTACCGTCATCCTATAAGCTCTTATCTTTTTACCGTCATCCTATAAGCTCTTATCTTTTGAGGAATTCATCAAATTCCCTCTCCACAAGTAACAGTATAACTACTAGATTGCTACTAGATTGCTTTCTTTACTTACGAGTCTTCTCTCTATATGTGCTTGTGGAACATTACTCTCTTTTATCTATGTGCTTGTGGAACATATGTGCTAAGTCTTCTCTCTATATGTGCTTGTGGAACATTACTCTCTTTTATCTATGTGCTTGTGGAACATTACTCTCTTTTATCTATAGAAATTTTAGAACATTACTCCACAATAATTTTAAGTCCTCTCTCTATATGTGCTTGTGGAACATTGCTCTCTTTTATCTATAAATGGCATAGCTGATATAATAATCCTTATGAGTATCTTTTCTTTTTCTCTCGTACCCACCTTATACATAACATTTACCTCTTACTTAAAAAAATAATTTCTCTCTTTTGGAGATGCAAGTATCAATCCCCGTACCTCTCCCATGCTAAGCGAGCACTCTACCATCTGAGCTACATCCCCACAATCTTTGCATCACAAAACCCTAAATTTTCCGTCATCAATAATAGTGAAAATGAAGAAATATTGCTACCCAACATGTCATGAATAAGGAAAAATTGAAAAGAAATAATATATTTAATAATAGAGTCTTATTTTTGGAGATGCGGGGTATCAATCCCCGTACCTCTCGCATGCTAAGCGAGCACTCTACCATCTGAGCTACATCCCCACAATCTTTGCATCACAAAACCCTAAATTTTCCGTCATCAATAATAGTGAAAATGAAGAAATATTGCTACCCAACATGTCATGAATAAGGAAAAATTGAAAATAAATAATATGTTTAATAATAGAGTCTTATTTTTGGAGATGCGGGGTATCGATCCCCGTACCTCTCGCATGCAAAGCGAGCACTCTACCATCTGAGCTACATCCCCATGATTTTTACATCATAAAACCGTAAATGTCCCATCATCAATAATAGTGAAAATAAAAAAATATCAAAATATTAATAACAAATAGTTTGGTTTGGTGATGTCGGGCATCGATAATTGTGAAGATGAAAAAATATAATAACAAATTAAATACTTTCTTTTGGAGATGCGGGTTATCAATCCCCGTACAACTCGAATACAAAGCGAGCGCTCTACCATCTAAGCTATATCTCCACAATTTTTACGTCACAAAACCCTAAACGTCTCATCATGAATAATAGTGAAAATGAAAAAATATCACTACTCATTATGTCATAAATAAGGAAATATTGATCCCCGTATTTTCCAAATGGGAAATGAACGCTCTACCATTTGAACTACATCCCTACGATTCTTACATCAGAAAACCCTAAACGTCCCTTCATCAATAATTGTGAAAATAAAAAAGAAACTCTGCATATTATGTTATAAATAAGGAAATATTGAATAGAAATAAAATATTAATAATAAATAGTTTCTTTTGGAGATGCGAGGTATCAATCCTCGTACCTCTCGTATGCTAAGTCGTACCTCTTACATGCTAAGCGAAGCTACAACCCCACAATTCTTGCATCACAAAACCCTAAATTTTCCATCATCAATAATAGTGAAAATGAAGAAATATCGCTACTCAACCTGTCATGAATAAGGAAAAATTGAAAAGAAATAATTTTCAACAATATATTTAATAATAGATAGTTTTATTTTGGAGATGCGTGGTATCTATCCCCGTAACTCTCGCATGCAAAGCAAGCGGCCTACCATTTGAGCTACATCCCCACGATTCTTATGTCACAAAATCCTAAACGTCTCGTCATCAATAATAGTGACATGAAAAACGATCCATGCTCATTATGTCGTAAATAAGAAAAAATTGAAAAGAAATAATATATTTAGTGATCTGTTCATTTGGAGATGCAAGGTATCAACCCCGTACTTTCCACATCAGAAGTGAGCGCTCTACTATCTGAACTACATCCCCACGATTCTTATGTCACAAAATCCTAAACGTCTCGTCATCAATAATAGTGACATGAAAAACGATCCATGCTCATTATGTCGTAAATAAGAAAAAATTGAAAAGAAATAATATATTTAGTGATCTGTTCATTTGGAGATGCAAGGTATCAACCCCGTACTTTCCACATCAGAAGTGAGCGCTCTACTATCTGAACTACATCCACACGATTCTTACATCAGAAAACCCTAAACCTCCCGTCATCAATAATTGTAAAAATGAAAAAAATATTTACGCTCATTATTTCATAAAGAAGGAAAGATGGAATAATATATTTAGTGATAATGAAAAAAATATCTCCGCTCATTATTTCATAAGTTAAGGAAAGATGGAATAATATATTTAGTGATAATGAAAAAAATATCTCCGCTCATTATTTCATAAGTTTAGTGATCGATTCATTTGGAGATGCAAGGTATCGATCTCCGTACTTTCCACATCGGAAGCGAGTGCTCTACAATCTGAGCTACATCCCCACGATTCTTACATTAAAAAATCCTAAACCTCCCGTCATCAGTAATTGTGAAAATGAAAAATATCTCCACTCATTATTTCATAAATAAGGAAAGATGTAATAGAAATAAAATATTAATAACATAGTTTACATATGTGTTACTTGTGTTATTTTAATGTATTTATTTACTTGGTAAATGTCTTTCATACTACAATCTTTTAAAGGGGCATTTTGAGAATCAAACTTTCATACCACTAGACCAAATGCCCTTGTTATACCACTTGAAACGTATGTATGAAGCCTTAGGCCTAGGTACTAAGGACGTATAGACCAAATGCCCTTGTTTATACCACTTGAAACGTATGTATGAAGCCTTAGGCCTAGGTACTAAGGACGTATAGACCAAATGCCCTTGTTTTATACCACTTGAAACGTATGTATGAAGCCTTAGGTCTAGGTATCAAGGTCGTATTTCGTGAAGTCCTCGGATGTAGAATTTGTCTTGGAGAATAAAGCCTTGGGATGGGATGTTAAGAAAGACTATGAGTATTTCGTGAAGTCCTCGGATGTAGAATTTGTCTTGGAGAATAAAGCCTTGGGATGGGATGTTAAGAAAGACTATGAGTATTAAGAGCATGATGGTAAGTATAAAATGTAGAATATGAAGTTAGGTTGATTTCGAATATGAAGTCCTTAGATAAGAAAAGACTTAGACATAGGGGCATTTCAAGAACTGAACTCAAAACCTCTTGCACCCTAAGTGAGAATCATACCACTGAACCAAATGCCTTTTCTTGAACACCCAATATTTTTAGCTTCTACTCAAATATATTTTTCTCTTAGTAGTTGGAGGGCTATAAAACGAAAAGTTGAATTGTTATAATATACAAGGGTTATCAAATAAACGACAACCCAACAAAAGAAACAAACTAATCAATTTTGGTTGGATTGATTCGGTTCAGTTCATCAGTTTGTTTGATTTAATTTTTCTATTTTGCCTCGTATGACAAGAAAATAAAGTTGTATTGAATGCACCTTAGTTTCATTCATGACAAACTCATATGAAACATAATTGCATTAATAGTACTCAGAGTTGGAGTCTATAAGCATTTCATGAACTTCAGTGCAATTCATGCTTCATTAAAGTTAGTTCATTCATATATAGGATTAATGACGAGGAACTACTCTTGATCCTGAGCGTGCGGGAGGACCCTTTACTGTTTACTTATTCATGACCCGAACCGCGTAACCTATCAGTCTGCGGAACTACTAACTCTCTCTATCGTTCTACATTTATTGTTGAACAAGGAAGGGAAGGTGTAGTGTAAAGCTATAAGAAAGACTAAAGCAAGAGAAGATGAAGAAGCTCATTCCCCTATATGCTTTCTGATCCTGTTACAGTATTTGTAGTAAATAAAGAATATTCTATTCATTTGTTCCTTATGCATCCTTTACTGTCGAGTAAATCAAAGAAGAATCCGTTAAGACTGAAAGTTAAGTAGCTCGAGTAAAAGAAGAAGGGACAAGTTTAGTTCACTCTCTCTCATTCTTCTCTAGATTAATCTCATCTATCCTAAGTTCTAGAGCTTCTAAAGAAGATGTTTATTGTTTCATCATGCTCTTCTTTCTTATTTATAGCTTGTTCTGGAAATTTTCTGTCTTGTCTTTCGATACCTTTTGAAAAGAATGTTAGCCCATTTTGTATTTGCCGTTTGAAACTCTTCACAAAAGTCCTTTGTTTTTTAAGAACATCGAAGCCTAGTTCAGCAACAACCTTTTTTTGCAGGTCTTTTCTAAACTCAATCTTTTTCTTTCTTTCGTTTTTTAACATGATTTCCTTCAGAATTATGCTCAGCTTCTGTGATGGTCATAAGATTTTCCTTATATTTTTTTATCAGGCATTCTTGCTTTATTTGTCTATTTTGCTTTTTTATTTGACTTCCCCTTCTGTTCTTTTATCCACTCATTGCTTTTCAAGTGTACACCTCTGCCGTAGTAAACGTATCCATACCCTTTCGGAGCTTTTTGCATATAAAAGACTTTTCTGGTTTTTCCTGCTATCTATTTATTACTGCTATTCGTTGTACTTACTCTTTTTAAAAAGGGGCTTGCTTTTCTTTATTGCAAGAAAAGGGCAATGTCCTACTTTACAGTCAGACCAGTTTTCTTCATCGTTAGCTAATCAGATGGATTCTCTTACTTACTTAGAGAGATGTAAATAGAAATTCTTCTATCAATTTTTCTCTCCCTTATTTTCTTCCGAACTTTAGAAGTGCTTCGGTTGGTCTGTCTCTATCAAAGAATTAAGCGCTGGAGACTCGGCTAGCAGAAGATCATAGATCATACTTCTTTCTCGATTGCTTTTCCCAAAGGATAGAGGTTTTTAAAGTAATAGCACAGATTTGGTCATTACCGTGAAGACAGAAAGAGTACCGCTCAGTTGAACGTCATACCTAACTTCTTTCTACGGTGTTGGCCCCTTGAAGGAGGCGGGAAGCTACCGCTTCTAGAATGCAAGCAACTCCTTTCCTTTACAGCGTACCCCGTGAAATAAGAACAAATGGTTGATGGATGAAGTAATGGGAGTGAGAAATGATTACGGTTGTGGAAACCGGAGAAAGTAGGGAACCGTCAGTGACTTTTTGAATCAAAGTAGGGACGAGCCGAGTACTACGACTACAGGGGGGGGGAACTTTGCTTCTACGACAGCTTTCTTCCTCCTCGCTTCTTTTCTTTCTGGCGACTAGCTTCTCAAGTGGGTGGCTCTTGGTAAGCAAGCTACCTTCACCATCGGTCAAATCCCTATCAATAATAGGCCGGAATGAATGGTGGGGAAGGATGCCCTAACGAGACTCTGAGTCAAGCCTTAGCCTATCTCTATAGTCAGGGGCCTTTTCTTCAAGAATAAGGAGTCTCCCTTCTTCTCGCCTATTTACCTTGTCTTTGAGTGAAAGAAGGTGATTTCAGTATCAGTAGTTCAGCAGTTCAGCCGAGTTCAAGCAAGAAAGGAGAAAGAGCAGTTCACAATAGGGAGGGAATATCGTCAAAGGTTCAGGAGTGAAAGAAGGTTCGTTCCGGTTAAGGGTCAAAGACATGAAACTGAGTTGGAGAGGGTCGAAAACGCTCGACGAGAAAAGGGAGGAGAGGGTTTCGGGTCTCATTCATCTCTTTTCTTCCTGCCCGATTAGTCTTTTCTTTGAGAAAGGTAAACGCTAACTCTCGAATTAAGCTTTCTTTCCTTTTATTCTAGAACAGTAAAGGAAAAGGAGGTTTAGGTTCAGGATAGGTTCAGGTTACGAAGCGAAGAAACTCGACGAGAAGAGGAGTTCAGTCAAATGAATTGATAGTGTTTACAGTTCATTCATAAATAGGATCAGTGTTTGAATAGTTCAACCCTACCGTTGATAGTGTTTACGATAGAGAGAGAGTTAGTTGGAGGTCGAAGATCAGAGTCTGGTTTTCACAAGATATGAAAAAGAGAGTCTTTGTCCTGCTATTCCCTGCAATAGCTCTTTCGAGGGGTTAAAAGAGAGAGAGGATCGGTGCCCGCTCTTTCCCAATGCAAGGGAATAGGCCTCTTACGGGTCGGAAGGCTTCCTTCAATGAGTGCGCTTGTTCAACTGAAACTCTAGAAGATGCCGAATTAGAAGAAGCTAGAGAAAGATCAGTCTCAGCTATAGCCGAATCCGAAGACGCATTGGGAACTTTAAATTACTTCATGTGGAGCTTCAATTACTATATGCTAGTTACAATCTTTAGGATTGACTAATTGGACACGAATTCATGGATTTAGGGAAATTTTTGTGTAATTATCAACTACAACTTATGTTTTCAAATTTTTAGGACATAATTTAGGTAGTTGTTTTTATGAGTCGTAAACTTGTTTCTTTGCATAATATGGATTTATTTGAACTATTATTATCGATAAGATGGAGAAAGAAATTGTCTTTGAATTGACTAATAGACCTAGGTTCATCGTTGTTGTCTTTTAACTTGTGATTTTGCAAAAAGCTTAACTAATATGAACTGTCATGTCACAAGAACTTTAAGGTAAATCAAGAATATACCCTATACATCATTCAAGATAGCAATAAAATGGAGTTAAATTGAACGCACTTTAGTTTCATGTTTGGCGTGTTCAAGATAAAACATAATTGTATTAATGATATTGAGCCTGGAGTCTATAAGAATTTAATGATCTTAAGAGAAATTCCTGTTTTATTAGAGGATACCAACTTTATATATGGTACTAGGAGTTCAAGAATCTGGATTTGAATCTGGTCAAGAAACCGTACGATTTGAAAGTTTTGAATTCTAGACCAAATTTGTACCTAATTATTTCTTTTTATGACTAATTATAAATTAAGAGAAAAATATTTTTGTAAAGATAGATTTATCTCTAAGCTTTCGTGACGAAACCATGTTTAGACTAGCAGTTTAAAGTCAGGAGATGCAGTCACAGGTGTGATTATTTTGGATGGGTTCGTAATAGAACGTATCGTTGAGATGAGGGTGCCTTCAAAGGTTGTGCACTCACGAATGGGGTTGTTATGTAGCATTAGTCTGTCTTTGTGTTTGAGTTTTTTTGTACTTTTTTTTTTTAATAATTGTATCCGAAATACTTTTTTTTTGTTTAGATAAATTTGAACAACACCGTCTTATAATTTAATTTTATTTTATATTTAATGTTGTGTTGTTTTCTCAATCTCATTTTATTTTACAACATTTTCTTATTTTATATTAATTTACTTTTATTTTTATTTATTTTCACTCTCAATTTTAGTTTCTATTTGAGTTTTGAACCCTTGAAATTTGGGTTGTGACGGATTGGTATCAGAGCAGATAGATTTAAATTATATAGATTTTTTCTTAGGATAAAGAGTCATATATCTCTATGACTCAGCTCAATGACACGTCTCTCCGCGACCAAGTAAGCAGTCTAACCCTATTTTGTAGTATATGATATATTGTAAAACTTGTATGAATTTATTGTATGTTTTGATTTTCGTGGTAGTTATAAAATGTCCTTGGATGTTAAAGAGTGAACGTTAACTATATAAGACAATACTTGATCAACGTTATAGTGTCTAGATATGGTGAGGAGGAAAAGAGTGGTCATGAGATATCTGACTAGCCTTAGGAAAACAGAGAGTTGTCGTTGCACAGTGCGAGACCTCTAATCCATGAAATTTTGGTACTAGAAATGAAGAAACTGGAGATGGTCCCTAAACATCTGTATGGACCATTTCCAATCGCACTTTCTTTGGTTCCCTGGCAGCGTCAACCAGATTAACCCTACGGCGTGACAATCCTTGAGCTTCCACTCTTCCGTGGTCATGGTATCCAGCTTCACCCCAAAAATGGGTTCTTGAATATCTTTCTCGTATAGATAATCTTCAATTTGCATCTTCTAGAAACTGATATCGAATCCATCAAACTTTTCAATTCCAGTCTTTGAACTTTCCATCTTCACAGATCGTGGTGAATCTCTCCTCGCTCTGATACCAGTTATTAGAATCACACAACAACGCACACACTTGATCTAAATGAACACAAAGAACATGATAGAGAAAATGTAAGAAGAAATATTGACTAATGGTTTTGTATTAATGACTTCAGGTATGCAAAGAGAGGATATAGAGAATGAGAAATGTACATTTAGGGGTTGGGTTTTATGTCCTAAAACTCATAGTTGGTAAACAAAAACATATTCTATTTTCAATAAAGTTATTATTGTTGTTTATTCAGTAAAGATTGTTATTGAATAAAGTGAACTTTACGATCATTAGTCTAAATCCAATAAACGAAGAACACTCTGGCTATAGTATGATTACTTGAACTATATGTAGAGACATAAGAGTGGATCAAGTTCAAGTATATAGTCAAAATGATCTATAGTATAAGGATAAGGCTGAGTACCTTATTCTTGGGACACTATGGATGCGGCCCACTTTAGTATATGATATAAACAATGTGATCACTAAATTGTACATGTGGAGACATGTGAGTGGGAGCGTCCTATGCAATGAGTATTGCATAAGATCGGACCATGAAGAAAATCACTCTTCCTTTATAATGTCGTTTACTGTTATGACTGATTTTCTCACTACAAGAAGAGTACCTTTTCATAGCATTGTAGAATAGCATTTTTAAAATAATGCTATGAAAAAGAAGGAAAAAATGAATATTTTTTCCCTCTCTCTTCCCTCCCTTTTTTTTTTTTTTCGGTTTCGCTCTCATTTCTTTTTGTTTTTGGGTTTCCCTCTCATTTCTTCCCTTCTTTCTCCTAGCCCTAGATCCATCTCTTCTCTCTCATTTCTCTCTTTTCGGTTTCGATCTCTTCAAGCTCATTTATTCGGTTCTTTCTCTTAGCCTTAGATCTATCTCTTCTGGGTTTTTTCCTTTCTTTCCATTGACAGTTTCAAACTCACCCATTTCTCTCATTAGGCTGTTGGAAGTGGTCGACAACAACCACAACAATGGTGGTAGAGGCGGCGGCGAGGATCATGAACTGGATGAGATGCAGAGGAGCTGGCTTCTCGGTCTGGTGGAGGGAAAGAAAAACAGATATGTTGACCTAGGTTGTGTAATCATGTCGAAGAAGGCTTTGAAATAGGAATGTCGGTGGAATCAAGATGTGCCCATCCTATTTTTTTTTCGAACGACGCATGGTACGGCTCCCCCTATAAAAGATTTTGTATTTTAATCAACTTTTTTTTTCTTCGGTTGTTTAGTTTAGAAGCTTAGTGCTTGAAATGGCCTGAGCAAGGCTTTTGATTTTGATGCATCACTCTTGAATTTGATTCTTTAGTTAGGTAAAATGGAGTTAAAGGGCCATTTAAACACAGGAGAACCATTGTTGTAGAATAACTTTCACTTCAGTGTTAGGAGGACATGTGTGGTTGCGGTAAGAAAGGAAGGGGTGAAGGGGAAATCATAACCATTAGCTCATTATGTTATTGGCTATTTGGATGAGAAGCATAGATATAGACACGAGACAAATTAATATAACAAAGATAGAACACTATATTTTTAATGTCTAGAACACATTATAAATTACCATAATTGATCGATTAAGTAACTGAGAGTTGCTTCGAGCAGTGGAGAGGGGCGAAAGGGAAATGATTGAGAGTGAAAAATTGATAAGATATGAATGATTAAAGGGCTAAATTGATAAGATATGAATGATTAAAGGGGCAAGCATAATAAGAGACTAGTGGAGATTTTGATATAATTTAGTTGAAAAGGAAAGAATGTTGTGTGGGATATTAAGTAAGATTGTTGGGACTTGAGCAAAGAAGAATAATAATAGAGACTTTGTAGGTTTTGTTTGGTGTAATTTGAAGTAAGGTGTGAATTTTAAATGTGCTAAGAAGTATACAGAGGGAGGAAATTTGGACTTTTGGTAGTGTGACAATATCTTATTTAGGCTCTATGTTAAATTAGAGATTGAGAAAATGTGACCAATTTTTCAATAACAAAGTTGCAAAGTTGCACAACAAGCTGCTTTCCATTACCTTCACTAGGATTCAAATATGCTTTGGTAGATACCCACATTTTGCTTATGCAAAGAATTCTAAACTCTTCACAATATGGTAACAAATTTTTCTCTGCTTACTTATCATTTTTTTTTTCAATATTTACTATTTTGGTTTTAGTTGATGATGTGAGAATGAGTACATGTGAAAAAAATGTTAATGTTTTTTTTTTTTTTTTTTTTTTTTTTTTTTTTTTTTTTTTTGTTNTTTATTATCTCTTACACATGAGTGATTCTACTTCAAATTCTTCATTGTCTTAATTCACTTTGAAAAATATTTATCTAATGACAAAATTTTAATTAAAAGACTCCTATCCATTACAAAGAAGACTTTTAGTCCTTTGTTTCCCTCTTGATTTAAGCTTTGCAACGTAAAATTTGTTAAAGTAGGTCGCACTGTCACAATTAGTGTTGTCATCATATATTTGTTTTGGTTTTAATATTAATGATTTGTTCTTATATGGTGCATATAAGGTTAGTTGTTGTGGAAATAGGTTGTTATGGAATGGGAGTGAGGTCAAGGAATAATTGAAAGTGTGTCTCTATCTTCTCTTTCTTGCATTTCTTTGATATTGAGTAATTGTAAACAAGTTCATTCATAGAATAGGTGGAAAATGAGATCATTTTAGAGATTGTTACAAAAAATTTCTAATATCTCATTACTAGTCTACACTATATAAGTCTCTATCTCTTTTTTCCTTTTCTTATCATTGCATGTCTTTGTCGTCACAAAAAAGAATACATTTGTAGCTTTTAAATATAACATTTTGAACTAAAAGCTATGAAAAATTGAACACCATGAGCTATATTTTTTGTTGTACAATTTTTTAACTCCGCAATTTTTATTTCTCTCCCCTTCCATCTTTTGGTTTTTGTCCATTTCATTTCACAACTTCTTTCCCTCCTCGCACATCAAAATTCTTCTTTCATTTTGTCAACCTACTTCTATATTACTAATTATCCTCTTTCAGAAAGTTAAAGAGATGAAGATGAGTAGAGCAATAGTGACTTGAAGGAAGAGGCTTTCGAGATGTCGTACCACGAGCCTCCAAAGACTTAGGTAAGTTCAATTGGAATTGGTTGCTATATTTTAGATTCTTGATGTTCAACTATGGATTTACAGCCACTTCCTCTAATACTCTTCTCTATTTATGATTGTTTTGAATTTGAATGATGTGAATTTTGTTATTATGATTTGATATGACTAAACTGAGATTTGAGAATCTCTTTCTAGTTTGGAAGAATTTTGATTTTTGAATTTGAACTTTTACAGCAAATTTCTCTCTATTTAATGTTATACATACATTTCAATGTGAAATTTGGAGAACTCTCAAATTTAGATTTAACTTTTTTTTTTTTCTTTATAATCATTTTTTTTGGTAGGATTCTAAGGCTAAATTGAATTAAAATTTTCCATTTTCTCCTTAGGATTTTAGTGGTTATAAGTAATAGTAAAATCTTGTTTTTATTTTACTTATTTTTTTTTGTTCATTATCTTATAAAAGGTTGTTTTAATATCTAATATCTCAGCTGAAAAGTTTGTAAGAGTATACTCCAGGAGCAAAGATGATAGAAGATTTGCAATGCAAAGCCTTAACATGATAGCGACTCTCATTTATTGAACAACAAGGAGAATACTTTATCTTGTATCATTTGAATACATTAGTTTGTAACCTAAATAGATTATAAAATTTCAATTCAGTGTTATGTATTTCATGTGTGTTTAGTTAAAGATGTGTACTTGGATTAAATTTTATTACGATATAATTAATTCAACGATATTTAAATATTAAAATAAAATTTGACAACAAAAAATAATAAATTCTATGAAAAGATTATTAGAATAATTATAATTATTATAAATGATTAAATAACTTTATTATAGCATAATATTAAAGCTATAAATGTTAATTATAGTGTTAAAAAAATGCAATTATAAGCTGAAGATAACACAATATTTTAGTTATGTTAAACATATAATAGCATTAATAAAAACGCTATAAAATGATTATATAACAATGTATAAAAGCTATAACTTCATACTTTATTATAGCATTTATTATAGCTACAAAAAAATGCTATAAAATGTCCCAGACTTTTAATAACATGGGCTGTCACGACGTACGAAAAACGCTATAAAAATCTGTGATAGCATTTTTCGTAAGCTATTGTATTCATTGATTCTTGTAGTGTCTTTTCATTCGATAACCTAGGTAACTCGGTTTTAATCCTGAGCTAACCATGAACTCCTGTTTATTCGGAATTACCCTTAGATTTGCATGGGTGAGAGGCTCTAGTTCGCCGACTCAATAGGCCTCCCATTTCAAGGGTAAGACTAGGTGAATGGCTAGGGACGTGGGGTGCAAGATGGAATTCACTCCTCCCCACTTTTAGGGATAGAAGAGAGGTAGTTCCCTTAAGCACTGACTCCAGGTCTTGAACAAGGGGCCCCACCCTCTCATTGGCCTGAGAGGGATTCGGTTTACTGGTTGGACCACAAACCAATTGTTCATTAGAGGATCGATGAGACATAAGGAACAAGAAGTAACTTTAGGGGTAAAACGGTAAATTGACCCAGCTCTAGTTACGAACAACCTGTGAAGGATCGACTTACTAATCATGGTTATATCAAATGGACAGAAATATATCTATAGTGAGGGGAGTGCAACTACTAGGCTATAATTGAGTGTCCTAGTAGTTAACGAATGTTGGTTAACAAGGTTAATGAGTTTAACCCGTTAATCTTGGATCGTTGGAGCCCATGATCTATAGGTCCATTAGGTCCCTCTGCTAGCTCATATCGGACTAAACCATAGAACAGTGTGACGAGTGAGTTTGAAGTGTTTGAATTCAAATTAGGGAATATGCGCTACATATATACGATATATTTAACCGCATCTTTGTTTTATTTACATATTAAACAAAAAGAGAGAATCTGAGATATTTAAATAAGATTTAAATATCTTAATCAATTATGTGTCGGAATTGATTGGGATTGGGATTTGAATTAATATTAAATATTAATTAAATAGTTTAATTAATCATTTAATGTTACTTTAATTTAAAATTCATTATTCAAATTAATTGTTGAATTAAAATGAAGAAAGTCAAAATGTTGACTTCATTTAATGGAAAAATCAATGTTAGTGGAATTTTGAGGTGTCAAAATATGGTTTAATCAAACTTGCATGCTTGCTAAATAAACCTCACCAGTTTGAATGGAATTTTGAGTGTGAAAATTTGGTGATCTAAAATTTGCATGAACATGCAAACATGACTCTTTAAATAGAGTGATCATGGAACATGGAAGGTCTTCTTCTTCTTGGTGAAAAACCTTGAGAAAAACCTCTCACAAACACTCTCTTCACATATACAAAATCCCTCCCTAGTTTAGTCACTCACTGGATTCCACAATCCCGTTCTAAGGCTGGAGGATAGTGGAGAAGACACTAGTGGTGGTTTGAAACCAGTTCGTGAGGAAAAAGAAGTTTGAACTACAAAAGGTTAGTATTCAAACTCATTAAGTTTTAATACTTATGAACATGCTAGTTATTTACTATAAATGATGTCTAAAAGTGCCTAAGATCCAAATTGCTTCCGCATGTGTTAACACCATCATTAGGAAGCACTTACTAATGGGTATACATATGATTTTAATTTATTATATATAGCTTCACTATATGTAACAGCCTACTATATATAATTATTTAGTATATATATCTCTATCAGATTTTTACTATAAATAGTCAGCCTTCATATCCAACCTTCTAGAGCCCAAATAGTCCGGGATTGACATCCTGCTAGAACACAAAGTCATTTACATGCCCCTAGCAAAATGCGTAGTAGTAACGGAGTCTAACCCAACAATCATTCAGACAAACATCCATCAACCAAGAGGGGTGCAAATGATGATGATAGTACAGTTGAGAAAGAATCTTAGTCATGATGAATCTACACTTGCTGCCATTGTTGTATTTGAAAAGGGGGAGCTCAAGTGTGCCAACCTCAACAAAAACTTTTTTGCCACTACATGAATACCACGACCCAAAACAAGAAGGTCAAATATTGGGTTTAACCCCACCAAGAGAGATAAATCACAAGATTAGTTTTATGTCGCCTACCACAAATAGATGTCTTGCGGCTAAGCCTGAGCTAGTTGAATTCTACAAATAGCAAATGGCATGTTCACAGTCGGGTTTATTAGACCTCCAAAGGCTCTTGTAACTGATCACTCAAATGCTTGGCAAAGACACCAAGCCAACACCTCTACTGAAGAAGGGAGACAAAAACAAACCACTAAAGCAACACATGTTCACGCAAAAATACCAACCAGACGGTTGAAGAGAAGGGTCGACCACGATAATTTCAAAGCAAATAGAGAGTTATGATAAGTTAAGGTTAGATCAACTTTGAGTTCAAAGCAACAAGAACCAAAGACAGGTGCGAAAATTCTATGGAATAGTCGAAGTTATCCACAAGATTTGGAAGACATCATATAGGATCCAATTTCTCCTATGGATACAGACTAACCCTGTTGTCCACGTCAGTAACTTGAAATGTTATTATTCCGACCAAGAAAACATCAAGTAAAAGTAGGTGGTATGACGTCATGCAAAGAAGAAATTGTTTCAAGCGAAGAAATTTGGAAAGGCACCAACAGAGAAGACTTGAAGAGTTAACAAACCGAGAAGTGATTTTCAATAGCTCCTAGTAGGTTGGAAAAGACTCATCAATACTGAGATCAGCTAGAAGCGCGTCGCGAGACCTAAA